CTTCCCATCCTATGACTTTCAGCCTATGAATGTATTTATGGGTTAAATGTGTTTCTTGGGCTGGTGAGATGGCTCAGTGGTCTAAAGCACCTACTTAGAACAAGCTCAGCTAAAGCATGGGGACCGCGGTTCAATCCCCCAGCACTACATGCCAGCCAGCCCCACCCCCTGGTGGGCTGAGCTGGCCACACACACAATAAATAAATAAATAAATAAATAAATAAATAAATATTGTTTAAATAAATAAATAAATGTGTTTCTTGTATATAGCATATTGTTGGATTTTGTTTCTCAATACTCTCTGCAAATCTATTTCTTTTAATTGGTGGATTGAGTACACTTACATTGGTGGTTATAATTGATGTGTATTGACTTATGTTTGTCATATTTTTTCCTGCTGTTGATTCCCTACTTTTCTCCTATGTTTAACGATTTGCCATGTTCGGTGGGTTCTTTCTATTGCTGTTCTTGGAATTGGGGGCCTTTTGATCTTCTTTAGAAACACTTAGTAATTCTTACATTATATTTATCTTTTTTTTCCTACCTGTGAGATTATTTCTGATCTGATTTCTTTCATACCCTTCTGCAGTTGTTTGTTTATTTCTGTTGCTAGTATTTCAGAGATTTCAGGTGTGTGATTTCCAATTTCTTCTATGCTGATGTCTTCTGGGTTTGTTCTGGGTGGGCTCGGGGTCTGAGATTACACATTTTGCTACTTCTTTTTGTCATTTTAATTTTCAGAGAAAACTCTTTATGCTGATATCTGTGATGCCTTTTTGTGAAAGTTTGGTAGTAGGTAGCTGTATCACTACAGTTAGCACCTCTCAGTAAAGATTCTCTTCTTTTAGGTATCTCTCCTGTATCAAAGATTCTTGTTTTGTGTGTGTTCCAAGAGTTTTCCTTCTCTATTGATTGAGAAAGAGGTGTTGGTTTTCATTTGGCACTGACTTCTGGCCTTCAGTGTAGGGCTTTGGTGAGGTTATTACCCAATCACCTCCTGATATTATTACTCAAGTGAGAACCAATGTGGTTAAGGCAGATATGGTTTCCCATTTACAGTAGTATAATTAGCAATGCTAATAATAGCTATTGAAATTTAGAAATTGACAAACTTTAAGCAAAGCATTTGTGATTTAGACCATAGGAGCAAGCATTATAGCTGTATAACAGAGCAGTTTTAAATTCAAAATTTGTTTTTAAATTAATTCCCCTGAGTTCTGTCTGGACACCTCCTCTGCATGTACTCGGAGTCTTCCAGACAGACTAGTACACCCCAGTTAGCTGCTGCCACCTCCGTGCCACAAGGATGCTCCTGTATGTCTGGGCCTTGGTCTGGACTTGGCTGGGCTCAGCAGTAGCCTCAGTTCACTAGTTCTAGATCTACTGAGCTCAACCTCGACTCTCATGTCCTGACTTGGGTCTGGTAGCTGTCTTCAGCTTCTTCTAACTGAGCCCTATCCAACTGCACCCCTGGCATAGCTCCTTCCCCGTAGGCCCACAGAGGTGGAGTCTGTTTTCATGTTTAGAAATGGAATGTTAATTTTTCTGTAGTTCTCCACAGCCTTACTTCCTGGATCCAAAGAAATCTTTTCAATTCTCAGTTCAAGAAATAAAGAAAAACTCAGATGCAGCAGCTGGAGTTTACAGATGCAGTGGCTGGGGTTCAATCTCCAGGGTGCTGTGCCAACCCCACCCCCAGGGCAGACTGAGACTGGGCATCCTGGCACATGCCTATAATCACAGCTTTTGGGAGGCTGAACACAGGCAAATCAATAGGAGTCCAATCTACGTAGTGAACACCTGTGCACCCTGTAGACCCTGCACTAAAATACAAGATGAAGAAGAAGAAGAAGGAGAAGGAGAAGGAGAAGGAGAAGGAGAAGGAGAAGGAAGAAAGAAAGAAGGAAAGAAAGAAAGAAAGAAAGAAAGAAAGAGAAAAGAAAAACTAAGCAGATAAAATGAGTAAGCGTATTCAGTAGAGAAATGAAAAAGGAAAAATGAAGTATAGAGTCAAAGGTAGAGGACTTAAAATAACTGCCTCTGACATGAACTAAAGAAGGCAATTTTGTTGCTACTATAGTCAGTTTTGTAATGGTGGTCAGAAAACAAAGAAAGGATTATTATTCAAAAAGTACTTAAGGGACTGGGAAGTCATGGAAAAGAGAGTGGTGGTAGTGACTAGGGCTCCTTTTGCAGATGCAAGGTGTTATGGCTTGTGTCTAGGCAGTGCCCCAAAGCCTCTTGTGGTCATAGGTGGGGCTTTTTCAGAGGTGGCTGGATGTTGAGTATGTGACAGTAAAATTCATTCATGGTGCTATTTTAGGATTAAGGACACTGGGATTAAGGATGTGAGGCCATAAGTAGCCTGGATAAGATATAAGCTATAGAAAGAGCTATGATCCAGTCTTGTTGCTTATCTATCTTATGTCCACTGTAAACTATTTCTTCTGTCTTCCATCCATCCTGCCTTGGAGCTAGCTGGACAGAAACCCCTACAAACCACAAGCTAAGTAAACCTTTTCTCCTTTGACTTTGTGTGTCAGATGTTTTGTCTCAGCAGTGAGAAAAGTAAATAAGAAACAAGTCCATAAACAATGTATGGACTCACAAGTTGTGTTATACCAGTATCTGGACTCAGCTTCTTTGGCTGATAGTAAGAAAAGTCCAGTAACAGACTGGACAACATCTCTGTTTTGAACTCTAAGAAAGCAAAGATTTTATGCTTAAAGGACACACATAAACACACAGTTCTAAACTTCTGTTTCTTAAAATACCATTGATACATATATGAGCAAAAATTTATTAAAACTTTTATGTTATGTCTAAAAATTTTACAGTAAATATTATTACCTAATATCTAAATATTTTATGATCAAGCTTTGTAATAATTGAATTTCTATAACTTTAATAATTGGAGGGGGGCCAGGGTGATGGCTCAGTAGAATAAACGCTTGCCTGGCAAGCACAAGGGCCTGAGTTCAATCCCTGGTTCTACAATAATAATAATAATAATAATTTTTTCTATATTTTCCATAAGGGTCTACAGGGTGTTCAGGGTCTCACTAGTAGATCAGTCTTGTAGTAATTATCCTGTTTGCAGCCTCCCAAGTGCTGGGATTACAGGCGAGCCCTACCACGCCCAGTCTCAATTGCCATCTCAGCACACCCTGGGGGCAGGGCCGGCACGGCTGGCCCGGGGATTGGGGATCGAACCCCAAACCCCTGTGCCTACTTGCAGGCCCTTTAATCTGCTGAGCTATTTGGCCAGCCCTAACTAATAAATAAATGCTCAATATCTATTGATTTGCCTGATTTTACTGCCATGTTTGGAGAGCATGTGAATCAAATCTAGAAAGTCATACGAATATTCACTAATCAAGAAAGGAGAAAAAAAAAAAAAAAAAAAAAGAAAGGAGACTCAAAAATCAGTGAATCCAACTCATTTTTCATGCTTTAATGTTTAATGTGCATCAGTGTTTTGCTATAAGGTCATCAGGAATCACAGATAGACAGTTTACATTAATTACCCAAATGATCCTCACCCACACAAACCAAATAAATAAGCAGTCTCATTCTCTTCTCTGTTTTCTGTGTCATAATGACACTTGTTTTATAACACCACACACTTTAAGTTTTGTTTTTTATGCATGTTTCAATGATACATAAAATTAAAGATCTGTAATTTCAGAGTTCTTACAACCTGAATTCTTTGGCTTTCCGGTCTTAAACCTTAAATCATAAAGTATCCTGACAGTCCATGATTTCTTTTCCTTTCTGTTATGTAACCTGGAGAACAAGCACTGTGAAACTTGAGGCAAAAAATACATTTTGGCCCGAAGGCTCTGACTGGACTTCAGAAGTCCTGATATTGAATGGGGAGTCACAGAGGGCTGGGCCTGTGACAGAGGCTGTGGATCCTTCACATTTGGGGAGTGAGCAGCCTGAAGAGAGAATAAAATGAAGGTTTAGGGAATATGGCTGGGGATTTGTATTTTTCTTCCTGACCTAGCTCTAGTAGATTAGCCTTAGGTACAGGGAAACTTTATAGATTGGTGCTGATCATTTCATCTACTCACTACATTAAAACAATTATTTAAGGAAAAAATGTTCAAGCCCATTTAGTGAAACTAGGAGGCCTAAAATGTAGTGGTTGTTAGATTGATCTAATTATATTAGTCAATCAATAAATAAATTTTCTCTTTGATTAGAGAAATCAGTTGCAAAATAGGCACAAGAGGAAAGTCAGGCAGGGAGCAAGGGGTGGGAGGTGAGTCTCAGAAGGGAGAAGGGGTGGGAAGGGGCCATCCACAGCAGGAGGAGCCAGCGCAGCCCTGCAGAGCCTGATAGTACTTCAGAGAGTAGAATGCCTTTCTGCTCACATCTCAAGCACTGCCAGTGAGTATGCGAGATAGAAAAGTTAACATCTCCAGCTTTCTGGGAAACAAACTAAGAGTTAAAGAGACAAAAAGGTGAAGTACCCCCGAAGTCATCTCAGAAACGGTAACTTGAAGGACTAACAGAAGCCCTGATATAGGATAGGACCTGTCTCTAAGCCTAATTCATCATCACTTGGCTGCTTCTTCTTCTTCAGTTTCATTATTATGGCAGATTTCATTTGTAAATGATTGTATCACTTCATGTCAATGCACTGCAATTTATATCACAGTGTTCAGCTATTTACTTAATAGTCAAGAAAGAAGACATACTTTTAATGTTTTTCATCCAATTTAGCAATACATAGAAAATCACATTATATTCACTGCACACAGAAAAAGTGCTAGCCAAGAACATTGCTTTCTATACAAAGTCTTTAAAACTTCATTTAAATAACCTTCATTTTATTTTTAAAAAATCATATTTTGTCACGTAATGTCCTTCTAAATTGGAAAAACATGATTTGTTTTCTTCTTGTAGCCATTTTAAAACTAAGTCTTTGAACTTTGCTCAAAATAACTTTCAGATTATAACATAAATCATATCAATTATGAAAACACTTAGATTTAATGCCCACTGCCTAAAACTGAATTCTCATAGAGTTCAGAACCGAAGAAGACAAGATGTCACTTGAGATTTTTTTCCCCCTCTGGCTGTTCACACAAGTTGACCTCAATGTTGCCATAGCTGAATGCTTCTCTTATCTCCTCTACTGTGTTCTCTCTCTGAGATAACCTCCCTTTCTTCTGTGTCATTGTAATTCCTGAGTTTCCATGCCTCCGTGCTGGTGACAAGGTTTCTTTTACTACACAATAGCAAACTGCAGACAGAAAATTTTTCTTGAAGTTTTCATTCATAAATGCATAGACAATGGGATTACAGATGGAGTTGGAAAATCCAATTATTTGCACTATAGCAAACATCATCTTGATTGTGACCTCATCATATTCCTTTTCAAAATTACCTGAAACACAGCAATACTTTAGAATACTTGTTTTTTTATGAAGCATAAAATAAAACTTCTGTTTATTGTCTGTCTTTACCAAAAACTTGAATTTGTGAAAATGGTTAAAGGTATGGAAAATTCTCAAGGTCATTTTGTGATAATCTGAAAAATAACCACTGTGTTATTCATGTTTACACAACTTAGTCCTGCACACAAGGGCTGTTGCTGAGTCTCAGCTTGAAGACTGAAAGTATTTTAACTTGATGACTCTATGGTTCATGTAAACTAAAAGCAACATTACCCTTCAAATATTCACTTGATTTACAGAAAGATAATCCAACTGAGAACCACGTAGTCTTGAATTACCAGAGAAAGTACACTGAAGGTCTTACTGCAATCCTAAGCATTATTAATTTCATAAAGTACAAATCAAGTTGTAAATAGAGAAGATTCATATAATATTGCCCTTCATCCTTGTTAAATGACTTAGGGAATAGAGTAAGAATCACAGAGGAGATGAATCTCAAAGCCTTTCTTTATCTTCTGTAATAATTAAAGACTTAGTGATAGTTCTGCATGACTACATACCATATAGTAATCCAGTAACTTTGAAAACATGAAGAAGTGAATACATTCAGTGTTTGATATTCTTACTCTATTCCCTAAGTCATTTAACAAGGATGAAGGGCAATATTATACAAATCTTCTCTATTTACAACTTGATTTGTACTTTATGAAATTACTAATGCTTAGGATTGCAGTAAGACCTTCAGTGTACTTTCTCTGGTAATTCAAGGTAACAGCAATATATTTCCGTGATTCATTGTCCATTCTGATAAGACATGAACTAGAAAGTCTATCAATGACAATGACAAACACTCACTGTATTCAATCATCATGTAGACAATGTGGAAGGGAGCCCAGCACACAGCAAAGAGAGCCACCACTGTCACCATCATGACAACAGCTCGCTTCTTCTTCCTGGACCCACAAGGAAACACTGTGTTGGTTAACTTTGCCTCAGCAAATGTGTTGTATTCATAACAAAGCTATTAGATAAAGTTTGAAATTCATCCACTCAACCATAATTTTTTAAAAGTTATTTGGGATTTGTTAGGGGTTTATCATCAACTTTTTTCCATTGATATCGGCCTCATGTTTATACTCCTTGTGTCATTAACATCCCTGTGATGTGTGCTCCTCATGGTCTGACCCTCTATAGTATACTCAACATGGATTGGACTATGTTATTAATTTCTCAACAAACTACTGGACAGATGTGGAAACTGGAGGACAGAGAAGATTAAATAATTTGAAAAAGCTTGCCACCAGCTGACCAATAAGAGGTATATTTTCAGTTTGAATTTAGGCATTCTAACTCCAGTGATTACATTTTATTCACTATATATTGAAAGGTACTCATATCTGTGATAGTAGATTTTAATATTTGTAAGAAAATCCTTAAGCATAGAATTAGAATGCAATCTTTCACTATATCTAAATAAGATGATTGGCTGATTCAAAGTAATTTTCTTCATTACTATAAGAAAGTAGATTCTGTGACACATGTATGTATTGGCATGATGCCTTAAATCTATACAAATTCAGTCTCATAACCTCCCATTTCCACCTGGTAGCTCTTTCTTTTGAGGAAGCAGGAAAGCTAGCTTAGCACTGAGTGCTAGATACTGAGCAGTCCCTGGCCCTTGCACGTGGAAAGGAAAGGACCTTTATAAAAACTGGGCACTAGAGGTCACTGCACACTTGAAGAATGAATTAAAAAAAAAAAAGGCTTGTCCAATCGCTAGACTTCTCCACACAAAGCGTTGCTTGATTGGCGTTTAATAAATCATTCAATATAGACTACAAAAACAAATCATATGAACAAAAATCACCATGCCTTTAAATTTTGTTCTAAAATTGCTATTAAAGGATAAAACCAGACAGCACAGCCAATATGTAAAAATGAAATACATCAAATAAAATCATTTAAAATGATTGGTATGCTCTGGTTTTCAAGCATGCTATCTCCTATATTTTAGCATCATCTGTGAGTGGAAGGAAGGAAGGATGTAGGTTACTGTGCCTTTGGGCATATGATGCGAATGCACCGGGGGGACAAGAGTGTTGTCCTCCTTATGGTTGGCAAGGGAGGGATAGGACAAGCACCACTGGCCCTGATACCACCCTCAGTTCCTCTTGTCATCATGTCATACTTGCATTTAGATGAAAAGGTAGCAGTGTGCTAGATTCCAAGCGAGTTTCTATCTATAGCCTAATTTTTTTGACGTAAGCACTGAAGATCTTGCTCTTTCTTTCTGTCACACATAAAACCTCATGAAACTTTGAAGGTTTAAATGCAGTTCATGCTTTACATTTGATTTACAAATGATGCTTTGACTAAATTACCTACAGGTTCTAGTATCTCTAGCAATTGCCACTTCCAGTACAACTTTCTGTTTTAAGGAGAGGTGAATATTTCATGACAGACCTGGCTATTTTGGACATTTCTTTGCCGTGGATAGTTCGAAGCACTGAACCATCTTCCACTCTTTTCTTGATCCAAAGTTCATAACCAATTTTACTGTATAGGACAAGCATCACCATAAGAGGCAGAAGGAAAAGGATGACAAGGATGAAGGTGGTATAGATTTTCTGGTGCACAGGGCTGGCCCACTCTTCCAAGCAACAGACGTGTTCTTTTTCATACAAGAAGTCATACTTGATCTTTACAAAAGGATAATTCAGTTAAGAGAGCCAATAGTCAGCATTTTAAAAAATCCAGAAAGCAGTCCAGTGTTATTACAATACACAGCATTTTTAAGCTCTTTAAAATTTGCCACAGGTACGTATCTTAAATATCAATCATTTTTTTATTATATAGTGTTTTGTTGGAAAGTGTAGTTTTTGCAGTTTAATGTTTCAGTTCCTAAGAATTGGTATTTTTCTATTTTAATGGAATTTGTGTTCTTCAGCTTTGATATTTGTCAGCTCTTATTTTCATTGATCTTACATTTTCAATGAGCTGAAAGAGCATAATTACTAAAGCACATATTGAAAAATAATTCATATTAATGCTACATACTTCATTATTAATTAAATGTATTGATTAAATTTTGGTTTATTCAGTTGTTCAGGGATAAGGTTGTAGCTCAGTGGCATAAGTGCCTGCCTGGCAAGTGCAAGGTCCTGAGTTCAAATCCCAGTACCCACAAAAATATCTTAATTAAATAAATAAAAGTTAAATTGTTCAAAAATAGTCTTGCAAAGTTAGCAGACATCTTCCCATTAGCAGATATAGAAACCATGTTTTTAATATTATTTCATATTGTGGATTTATTGGAAACACTAAAAAGGTAACTCATCAGCTTTTAAATTCTGAGATGAATAAGAAACTAGATTCAAATTACTGCCACTCTGAAAATGTTCATATTGCATTTGTTGTTCACTTATACTATTCTGCTAGCATCATCTTAGAGATTATAAAATATTAACAATACAAGAAAATTGTAAAAGTCTATATTTTAAGAAAAACTAAATAGTTAAAGCATTTTTTAAAATCACGTTTCTAATAACTATAACAAGAGAATTTATCAAGCCTAATGTCATTTTCGTTACTCAGGAGTTTTTCAGATGAATACTTAGATGTTAGACATATTTTTTGTCTGCATTCCAGAAATTTTTATCACTAGTCTTCTACAGCAATTGAAAGGTAAGAAAAATCATGGTCTAAGTGTTATTAATACATACAATTGGACGCAAAAGCCTTTATTCCAAAATAAATTCAAATAAATTCTCTGTAAGTGAGTCATA